GCTCGCTCGCTGCGGCCCCGCGGGGCCGCCCGCCGCCGCCGCGAGCCTCGCGGGCCATTTCCTCTCCAGGGCGGCCTTATCTCGGCGCGCACGTTGCCGCGCGGTGACTAATAACAGCACAACATTGTCTCGGGATAAAATAGCGCCGGGGCTGTTTACCCGCGCCATGGGGGTTCGCTATAAAAGGGCGGCAGGGACCGCCGCGCCAGCCAGACGCGCCGGGGCGCACCGAGACGCCGCGTCCCCCCGCCGCGCCGCCATTCATTGCTCCCCTCCTCGTTTCATTTTGCTTTTTTTTTTAATTTGCATTTCTGCAAATTGGTAAACTTTTTTTTTTTTTAATTTTGATTTTTTTTTATTCCCCTCGTCTCTTCCCGCCGCCCGCCTGCTATGGATTACTCGCACATGCTCGTCTCGCTGCTCTTCGTGGTGTGCCCGGGGCTGCTGCCGCCGGCAGGTAGGAGCGGCGGGATCGGGCGCCCACCGGGGGCTGCGCGGGGCCGGGTCCGGGTGCGCGGGGCCGGGTCCGGGTGCGCGGGGCCGGGTGCGCGGGGCCGGGTCCGGGTGCGCGGGGCCGGGTGCCAAGGCGCTAACGGCGGTGCCGCCCGCAGCGCCCGGAGCCGCCGCCGGCCACCGCCGCGCCCGCCGCTGCTCCTGCTCCTCGCTGCTCGACGAGGAGTGCGTCTATTTCTGCCACCTCGACATCATCTGGATCAACACCCCCGAGTGAGTGCGGGCTCGGGGGGAGAGGGGCGCTGAGACACCGCGACGGCCCGTGCCGGAATTAGGACAGAAAGGAGATTCCTCTTCCCTTTCCTTTTCTTCTTTCCTTCTTCTTCTTCTTTTTTTTTTTTTTTTTTCCTGCTTTCTTCTCCGGGAGAAAGCGGGCATGAGTGTCTAGGTAGCTCTTAGGAGACCTCGCGCACCTGCATTCCCAAGTGCAGGCAAGAGTGTCTCCTTTGGGTGCCACTCTGCAAAGGCTGGATCATGCCTTTTGCTAGGAAACAGAGGGGAACGAAATGCCAAGGCCAGGATTTTGCCAACCTGACTTTGCATAACCATTTTTTTTTTTTCCCCAAACAAATCTGGAAGCTGAAGGGCTTCTTTTGCTTCCTTTGCCACCCCTTGCTGCTCTCTCCTGCAGATGAGCACTGTGTCACTGTCCCTTTCTGCAGCCTCTGCAGCAAAATGTGCAGCTGGCCAGAGCCTTTACTGACTCTGCAAGCGCTCCCTTTGGTCATCTGCTCCATCACTGGATTTACTCCAAGAGGAGGCGATCTGTTCTTCACTTTTATCACTTCCCTCATTTGCCAGAGTTCAAAGAGAGGAGGTTTTATTGCCTTCTATTGCACATGGAGGCAGAGCAGGCTTATGAAATGACAATTAAAAGGCCATTAGCCTTGTCGGTAGCCGTGCTAATTAGTACCTAGCAGGAGCATCAGAAGCATTTGCATGGCAATTATGCCCCGCAAAGCATTCCTGATCCCACAACCTTGACTCATGTAATCAATCCCATTGATAAGGTAGCCCCAAAATACCCTGCTGCACTGAAGCCACGCAGTCATTTGCATTGTACTCATGGTGATGCTTTGACCACAGGAAGACTGTGCCTTATGGCCTCGGAGGTCCTTCTCGATCCAGAAGATCACTGAAGGACGTCGTGCCCGAGATGCTCCCTGAACCTAGCAGCAGATGTCAATGTGCCAACCAGAAAGACAAGAAATGTCTCAACTTCTGCCAGACAGGAGAAGACCTCAGGTGCGTTCATTGTTACTGCTCTTTGAAAGGCGGCGCGTGCGAGAGGGCTGCATCGTGGTCTCCTCGCTCATTTTGGCACTTGCTGGGTGCATAATCTCCCTAAAGACTTGCCTTCCACCTGGGTGCACACACTACGATGGCATCTACCACGTTTGGCCCAGCAGGAGTGCTTATAACATGCAAAGCTGTAGGTTAGAAGTGGTTCCTTGTGGGCTACAGAGATTTTATTTTGCTAACGGCAGTGCTTTTTTCACCTCAACAGGGCTCAGTCTACCGTGGAGAAGAGCTTACGTCACCGCAACAAAGGTGGCAATTGCCTTGGACCCAAATGTATGAGTCAACAGCTTGTTGGCAGCAAGAAAATGAAGAGGTGAGTTTCTTCTCATCTTCGTGTAGTTCCCCAAAATAGCAATAGAGAGCAGAGTTCTCTTTTCAGTTCAGTGTGAACTTGGCTGTGGATTGCAAGTCAAGTGTTTGGGAGGACTTGCTGAGGACTTTCATTAAGCTGTTTTTTTAATTTAAGGAATTCATTGTTTGTAAAGGGAAGAGTATTGATCTCTGCCTAGTCTCATCCATTTGCTTAGAGGAAATAGACTTGATCTCAGACATAAGGGAATACCAAGCTTAAACATGTGAAATCATTAAATACCTGGGAGAAGTAAAAAGAACCTGACATTTTAGTGTGTTCATGCATTATCTTAATTACTTAATATGTCCAAGTTATTCTTCTTCTGCAAAAAATCGAGCCAGAATGCCTTTTCTTAGATACTTTATAGCATTTTTTTTTCTGGAAAGAAAAGTTACAGACCTATCCGGATTTTTAAATAAGTGATTCCTTTTGGCTGGTGTAGAATTTAAAAACACAGCAAGTCAGATGTCTTAGCTGCCTAATCCCCTACATTGTCAGGCAATTTACTGTCAGATAAACATGTGCAAATGAGTGCAAGATACTAGCAATGGAAATAACTGCAAAAAGGTTGAGGAAGGTGAAAGTGAAGATTAAATTCCTATTTGAGGCTAAGCTAATAATTGAGACTAAAGGTAGATCAGTATCACAAATGCCACTGAAGGTGTGTGTAATATGTCGAATAGTTGTAGGCAACAATAGCACTTTTCAGTGCAGTTTGGAGGTGCGTGTGCTGGACTGAGTGCATCTAGAAGCCCCCAAACCATGATGAGCTCTGCCTTGAAGCTTGGTGTTAGCTCCAGTTTCAGCTCTAGGCCCATTACCAAAATTTGCACATACAAAGGCAGGCTCTTAAGTCCTTTCAAAAGCAAAACTGACTATGTAGGACCAGGCAACCTGATTTCCAGTGAGATTTAGACCCTGGAGGTCTTGCCTTTTTTTTCTTTAAATGGGGCTTATCTTTTGAAAAATGCACCCATTTCTTGGGATCAGGATCAGTTTTACTTGAAAGTAATGAAATAGCCAATGAGAATAAGAACACAGAAGACCTCTTGGTTGGATACATGCCATTTAAGGAAAATTAGGGCATGTGTATTTGAATATTTTAACTGATTTTAATGTCTGCTTTTAAATTCTGGATTCAATATTCTAAAGGGCTTAAGTTAGCATAAGTGATAGATGTATAATAATCAGCAGTTTGAGTCTCCTCTAATAAGCAGCAGTTTGAGTCTCCTCTGGCAGAAGTCTAGGCTGAGATTTATTTAATCAAAGGGCTGAAAGTCCGAATGCTTGAGTTGCAGCTTCGTTATTATAAGGGTATATTTCTTATTTCTGCAGGCTGGAGGCCATTGGAAACAGTATCAAAGCTTCCTTCAGTATTGCGAGGCTGAAGGCTGAGCTCCAGAGAGGGCGGAAGCTGAAACATAACAGGGCAAATAAAAGACGAAGCATCTGGGAAAGCCTGAAAACGTCCTAGTGAGAAGATGACTCGCGTCGTTCATTGTCACGCTCTCTGACCAAGTGTCACCAAAACTCTGCTTTGACTTTCAGTGTGCTACCACGGCAAAGCACCTCTCTGCCCAGGTGGTCGTGCAGCAAAACAAAACATGAGAGAAGTCCTGCATTCAAAGGTGGAAACTCAATGCAACTCCAGGATTTCGTTCACGTGGAATCCAGACGGATGGGTAGAGAGGGTGAAGGGAAAAGCTCCGTAGCGTTTGTTACAAGCCCTCTTTCCAAAGAAACATTTGAATATTGCCTCTGGAATGTTACTGCCCAATTCAGCAGCTTTCAGGGTCGACTTCAAGGGTGTTTTGCAAGGAAGACTTTACAGATGCGCTTAGAAAGGACAGAAGGCGAGATTTGAAGGGACAAACCTCAAAGCAAAGACTTTTTTTTTATTTTAAAAAAAGCCACTGTGCTACTTTAATCAGGACTTACTGCATATATACATGTCTACCTCGCGTACTGTTTGTTGCACTCCTGCTAGAGTATTTTTACACCTTGTTATTGCCTTTACTAATCAGCTGCAACCCTTTGCCTTTTTTTTTTATTTCCAGAAGTCTAGTTTACCCTTACAACCAGAGTTATCTATATGTGGGTTAGGCGCTGTGCTTGTTTGGAGAGTTGAAGTTTTGGATACCAAAGGACTGTTCAACACAGAATAGAAGTTAGAGAACACTACTAGGTTTACCATAACAGAGATTTGACTAACTGAAGTTCCAGTAATAGAGGTTGTTATGTCTTGCACGCCACCAGAAATGCACCAATGTAGAGCTGCACCAGACACTGTTGTAAAATGCATTCAGTGCCTTGTTTGGTGTAACTCAACAGAGACAAAGGGTTGTTTTAATTTATGTCAAAAGGCTAATATTGGGTGAAAGTTTATAGCAGTGAATTTGTTCACGTTGAATTTGCTGATAAGTTTGGTTGAATCCAGTGTGCTTAATTTGTATGTGTTTTGTATTTATATTCACACAAATTCTCCATTATATTTGCCATGTTGAATACGCACTGAAGTAGGCCATATTGGTCTATGCATGTTTTATGTATTTCTGTATGAAATTGGGAAATGCTTTATGCCTATCAAGGTAAATATCTCCAGAAATAAATATTTTTAATTACTATAGCTGGCTTTTTTTTTTTTTTTTTTTTTTTAACATGCACTGGTTTTATGTAGGCTGTGGTCCCACGATGCTGTGGGCAGATTGCCCCACGTGCCAAGCTGGCCTAGATGAGGTGCGCGCACGCGACGGCCTCTGTGTCGAGGCAGCAGGATCGCAACGTTACGGAGCCCGTGCCGGGTGTGAGAGCAGACAGTACCTGTCCTGGCGTAAAGCTCACTCACCAAAACCTGAAGAAATTTGAATTGGCTTAATGAATGTTAAAAAATTCTGAAGCTGTTTCCTATTTCTACTGAGTTATTTGCGGTGTTTTCCTGCCCGCACCCTGGGAGGCTGAAGGGGATGTTGTGCTTCCTTCCCCCGGCTTCCTTACCTCCTGGGGGTGGCAGTTCAGTCAAGAGATGGCAGTGTTGGCAGCCGAGAGGGCACCCAGCACTCAGCAGCTCGGAGGAACCGGGATCCCCGAGGCTCTGCAGGGCAGGACCAGGCCCCGGCTGGCGCAGCCCTGTGCTCCCTGCACTGTGAACACGATGCCACTGGCTGCTCGGTGCAGACGCGCATGGGTGACCTCTGCCAGCTGTGCGGAGACCTCATTAAAGCTCCCTGTTTCTCTGCTTCTTCCTCCCTCAGCCACTGCCTTGAGCTGGCAGGATAAACAAGCAATTGGGGAGAGCTGAAGTGACGGTGAGTACGGGGTGCCCAGGGCACCGCTGCCGGGGAAGGGGGCCGCACGGACCCTCAAGCCACCCAAATTTTGCTCCCCCTGGGAAGTGGAAAGGGGGAGAGGGAGTCTGGGGCTGGAGGAGCCCCACAACAGCCATTGCTTCTCGATTCAGGCTGACTCGCACAGGTGGCCGTGTTAAGCTATGTTGCAGCAGGCTTCAGGGCTTTCTCTCCTCAGACTTTGAGGAAGCAGTAGTAGACCAGATCTGAGGCTATCTGATCAAATAATTCTCCAAATAACCTCATAGAAGTGTATCTATTACTTCTGGGGTTCTTTTGTGTTCACAGCTGAGGCTCTGAATTTCCTTCCCTCGCTTCCTTCCTTCCTTCCTTCCTTCCTTCCTTCCTTCCTTCCTTCCTTCCTTCCTTCCTTCCTTCCTTCCTTCCT